TTTGGTTATAATGAAGTGTGAGCGATGGAACTCTGAATATAGATTCATTATATCATTACCTTGACTAATTTCGATGGTAAGAATTTTCTGCTTAGGCTAATGAGCGATAAGCAATTTGATTGGTCAAGACTTTGGAACATAACAACTCTGCTTTTAATTGAGGTAGAATGTTTAGACTTGATGTAGATGTTCATTAGGTGAATGTCTTGAATGAGTTCAATGATTAACATTTCGAGCTGGAGCTAAGCAGAGCTAATTAATTTCATTGGTCAATGCTTTGGGACATCTGATAGAGTGATGAAACTTAGTGTATAGTTTGATTGCTTGATACTTTTGAAAAAAAAAATAAATGTGTGATTAATTAATGTGTGTCATCTATTTATTTTGGGATTTTGGCGGGGGACATCATCCTCCATCCATCTCTTGCAAAATGTAGGCCTATCCTGCCTGGCAGCTGCAGGTTGTCCAATTTTGTGAAATGTAAGTTTATAAGTCCAAAGATCTCGGTTCCTTTCGATATTCATGCATATCGGAACGTAACTTGCTGAATTATGACCCCTGATTCTACGAAAAATCGTGTTTTTAGCTTGTGGACCCTATAGAGTTCAGAATTTTTATCCGATTTAAAAAAACGTTTCAATATATCACCATTACACCCTAAGAATGATTGAGTTCAAAATGGCTGCCCCTCTTACTCAAATGGCGTAAAATATGGTATATTGAGGTTGTGGACCCTCTAGAGGTCACAATTTTGTTCTAATTTTTATGAAACATGAAATGTAAGTTAATAACTCAAAGATCTCGGTTCTTTTCGATATTCGTGCATATCGGACTGTAACTTCCTGAATTATGGCCCCTAATTATACGAAAAATCGCGTTTTTAGCTTCTGGACCCTATAGCGGTCATACTTTTTATGCAATTTAAAAAATTGTTTGAATATATCACCGTTACACCCTAAGGATGGTTGAGTTCGAATTTCATAAAAATCGGACCAAAACTGACAGACAAAATGGCCGCCCCTTGTACTCAAATTACGTAAAGATATGGTATATCTAGGTTGTGGACCCTCTAGAGGTCACAATTTTCTTCTGATTTTGATGAAACTTGAAATGTAAGTTTATAACCCAAAGATCTGGGTTTCTTTCTATATTCGCGCATATCGGACCTTAAATTCCTAAATTATGGCCCCTGATTGTACGAAAAATCGCATTTTTAGCTTGTGGACCCTATAGCGGTCATAATTTTTATCCAATTTAAAAAATAGTTTGAATATATCACCGTTACGCCCTAAGGATGGTTGAGCTTAAATTTTGTAAAAATCTAACCAAAACTGACCGACAAAATGGCCGCCCCTCATACTCAAATAGCGAGAAAAATATGGTATATCAATGTTATTGAAACTTAAAAGGTCACAATTTTCACCCGATTTTGAGGAAACTTGAAATGTAAGTTTATAACCCAAAGATCAGGGATTGTTTCGATATTCGCGCATATCAGATAGTAACTTCCTGAATTATGGCCCCTGATAGTACAAAAAATGGTGTTTTTAGCTTGAGGTTCCTCTAGAGGTCACAATTATTATCCGATTTACATAAACGTTAGATATTACCATTACACCATAATGTTGGTTGAGTTTGAATTTTGTTAAAATCGGACCAAAACTGTCGGACAAAATGGCTGCCCCTCGTACGCCGATAGTGTAAACATCTGGTATATCAAGGTAGTGGACCCTCTAGAGGTCACAATTTTGATCTGATTTGATGGAACTTGAAATACATGTTTATAACCAACAGATCTTAGTTTCTTTTGATATTTGCCCATATCGGATCTTAACTTCATGAATTATGACCCTTGATTGTACGAAAAATCACGTTTTTAGTTTGTGGTCCATCTAGAGGTCACAATTTTTATCCGATTTAAAACAACGTTTTAGTATATCACTGTTACACCCTAATGATGGTTGAGTTTGAAATTCGTGAAAATCGGACCAAAACTGCCTGACAAAATGGCCACCCCTCGAACGCGAATAGTGTAAAAATATGGTAGATCAAGGTTGTGGACTCCTAGAGCAGTGATGGGATTTCAAAAAAGTTTGGCGGACCTTTTGGTCGAAAATAAAGGGACATAACTCTTATTGTTATTTAAGAAGGCAGTTTTTAAACCACACACAAAAATCATGTGTCGACAAAATATTCAGATTCATACATAATAAAAAATAGGCGCACCTTGGTATTTTTCATATTTAATTCCCGTACGGTATTCAAATTTATGTCAGTAATATTCCAACAAAAATACGATAGAATGAAAGCGTGCCGACTACTGCCGATCTGTACTGTTTCAAATTCCTCCAACATTAACGTATTTTTCGCGTCATAAGTCGATACATTTTTCAGCAGAAGTCTGGCATTCGTCTTATACTCCGTTTCGACTTACATACGGAGGGTAAAAAATGATATCCCGAAATTTATTTGGCAGTAAACGTCGCTCTACCTCAACGAGCGAGTGACATTTGACTTGAGCACACACTTTCGTCTAAAACAATTAAGTACTTACACTATTCCAATCAACATATTCGTCAACATTGCCTAGCGTACTTATTTCTTTATTTAAAATCATAAATCTGAGAATATGCCATCAAAATAGAATCTTTTCATCGACATTAGACACGTGAAATTTGGAATGTGTTCATTTCAAAGTTTCACGCATCTCGCAAGATTTCTACTTCCGTTATCGTACTATAACCGCCACTCCGCAAACCTCAGCAGATTCCAGTTTTTTCATACAATTATTTCCAAGTCTGACCCTTTTTTTCTTTCAAGTCTATCAGATTTACTTCAAACAAGGACAACTTTGCTCTGAAAATTCTGAACAGGCTTCGAAAGACGTTTTTAACTTCTTTTTAAAATAAGTAAACCGGTGCCGCATCGCAATTGTACAGGCTTAGGTACATATCACTTACCGTCATACAGCCAAGGCTAGATGTAGAGTAACGGAATCTGCCGAGCTTTGCTGAGTGCTATAACCGCGTGCGATAAGAAACAGAGTTAGCAATGTCTATTATTTTTGGGATATGTGTGTGTGTGTGAAATTGCTTTATTTAACTGTCACTTCCACTGAAGTGATATCGCAGACAAGTTATCGGATACATATTGATTTGGGGTGTTATGTACAATTAGGATATGTGACATAAGTGACTAATTTCTCCGTGCTGTTGGCCGACATCAAGGAGATTAAAACATCCGACACAGTGGAAATCATGGGTCAATCACGTAGCTTAAGTTTATAATCGCTGTTATTGGATTGATACATATCCCCGACAAAGGAGAAGCAATGACTTCTGTTCAGGATTGGATTGATGAATTGTTCGATAAAGGATTAAGGCAGATTAACTAGTTAATCAAGGTAGGTGTTGGCGTATAACACGATAAATACGTTGATCACTTAATTACCTAATCAATCCAGTGTATTATCAACGATAATTGGGTTGAGTGGTAGTTATACACTCACTAAACTATATTAATTTTGGAATTTTGAATATTATTCACCATGTCTTGATGGTAACTTCCTGAATTATTTCACCTGATAAAATGGCTGCCCTCTACGCAAATAGTGTAAACATCTGGTATATCAAGGTTGTGGACCCTCTACAGGTCACAATTTTGATCCGATTTTGATGAAACTTGAAATGCATGTTTATAACCCAAAGATCTTGGATGCTTTCGATATTTGCGCATATCGGATCTTAACTTCCTGAATTATGGCCCCTGATTTTACCAAAAATTGTGTTTTTAGCATGTGGTCTCCTCTAGAGGTCACAATTATTATCTGATTTTCATAAAAGTTCTATTATATCACCGTTACACCATAAGGTTGGTTGAGTTTGAATTTTGTGAAAATAGGACGAAAACTGTCAGACAAAATGGCCGCCCCTCATACGCAGATAGATCTTAAAGGGATAATCCCGATAATTTTTGGGAGAATAAAACTGTTTAATTTTGTTTTAAAAACCCTAAAAATCCTCTACCTAATTGCAGAGCAACTAACTCAATATTTGTAATAAGTTTTCAAATAACTGAAACCCGTCAGTTTTCATCTGGAAATGGAGACCGGTGTCCCAAGCTGTATTTTAGGGTGTCTAGATATAACCAGGCACTTTTTGTATAAAAATAATGTGTAGGTGAAATTTACCTTTCATTATCAAGTACAGCATTTGGGCCATTCACTGTATAGACCTTTCAATGAACGGGATCGATTATCTGGTCTCCCAACGAAAAAATTGACCCGAAATCTTAAAAGGGTTACGTGTCTGGATAAGCAGTTTTGACGGTCACGTCCAAACGACTCAATATTAATATTGAGCTGAAATTTTGAGATACGGTCAATACACCATTCCTCTATATTTTGGCGTTTAAATTTCATACATATTCAGACTTTTATTTTTGAGACTCTGTTCAAATAAGGGATAGTCCCTTTAACTTCATGAATTATGGCCCTTCATTGTACGAAAAATCACGTTTTTAGTTTGTGGTCCCTCAAGAGGTCACAATTTTTATCCGATTTAAAAAAACGTTTTGGTATATCACTGTTACACCCTAATGATAGTTGAGTTTGAAATTCGTGAAAATAGGACCCAAACTGCTTGACAAATTGGCCACCCCTCGTACGCAAATAGTGTAACTATATGGCATATCAAGGTTGTGGACCCTCTAGAAGTCACAATTTTGATCCAATTTTGATGAAACTTGAAATATATCTTTATAACCCAAAGATCTTGGTTCCTTTCGATATTCGGGCATATCGGATCATAACTTCCTGAATTATGGCCCTTGACTTTTCGCAAAATCACTTTTTGTTTAGCTTGTTCTCTATCCATCTCTTGCAAAATGCGGGCGTATATTGTCTGGCAGCCGCTGGTTTGGTTAAGTTTTTGCTTTATTGCTTGGGCCGTAGTTAAAAAGTCAATGTAATAGTACTGGTGATATTTAATTTTTTATCTATAGGGTGTTAAAGGAAGAAGTGGTAGTGGTCCTGGTGGTATTTTTGGTTTTGGACAATCAACAGCTAAAATAATTAAAGAAGATATTGGTGTTAAGTTCAGGTAGAGGTTAACTAGTAATCAGGGCTTAATTTAAAAATTCGTGTACCCGAAAAATAGCACTTGCCAAAGTATGATAAAAATCTTGAATTTTTCAAGGCAAAAATCTTGGCATATACTCTCCGAATCTACTATAATACATTAACGGATGACAACGACGATGATATTTGGTTATAGTAGAGTCTTGATTTTTAAAAATTTATTTAGTCTCTAAAATATCATTGAAAAAATATGCATTTGCTTGTCTTGAGAAATGGTTTTCCCAAAGAATAATCCCTTAATGATAGACTTTTATAATACCTGATGATTTTATGCGCTCACATTTTCATGTTTGTTTATGGACACTCTACAGGTCACAATTTTTATCCACTTTCAACCAAACTTGAAATATAGGTGTATCTCCCGAAGATCTTGGATACTTTTGATATTGGCATGTGTCCAGGGCTCACACTGGCTTTCGATTTTTTTCCACCAAAATGGATGATAATTTTTATATAAAAAAAAAATGTTCATATATTTTTCCGCCAACTGGAATATTTTATCTGCCAAAAATGTGGATAAAAAAGACAACACCTAACAATTTTATGTCTCAGCTAGGCTTATTATAAAACAATTACCGATATACAATACAATATACAACAACTTTAAAAATCTGTCTTTACATAATAGATTAGCAAAGTTTGGATTTAATAAGATCAGATTTTTTTTTTTGGAGACTTTAGTCTATTTGAACACTGTACTGCACAAATTTTTTTCAGTATTTATACGTCAAATCTCATACAAGGATTGTCAATTTTCTATACATTTATGTGTTGCGTGCACAATGGGCCTATTGTTATTTTCAGATACCGTAAGGGTATTAGAATCTGAATCCCTAATAGAATAGTATAAATTTCAATTATATTTGTTAAGAGATGCTTACAATATACCCGTCGTTAACTTTTAGAGCATTTTGGCGACGGTATTATGATACAAATGGCGAACTCTTTTCTTGCTCAAGAAACCTCACTATTCAACTCCTTCTTACTTTTTCGACCAGTGGTTATATTATAATATGAAATAATGATATCCGAAATGAAATGAAATGAAATGGAGTTTAACGTCCTACTGTTCTGCTCCTAACCTGGGCTAATGAAGACGGGCATATGCCATACAGTGTGCTATGAGGGAAATTTTGCCCGGACAGCGGCACTACGGCCTACTCTTATATCGAATTCCAACTGCCAAGGGATCTTTTACTTACACGCCAATGCGTACACGGGACCTCGGTTTTTCGTCCCATCCGAACGACTAGACAGCTTTCCTTGTCAGCCCCTCCATCCTGCATCACTGACAAGGGAGAACCACGCCAAAAAATCTGGATGAACTTTCTCGGCCAATGCAGGGATCGAACATCGATAGACATGCTTGTATTTTTTATATGGCGTATAAGCCACGAATTCAGCTATCAAAATATTTATTTCTCTTCGCAAGGAACTGTCTGCCATTTTGATTACATGTATTATCATTTTGATACGCCCACATTGAAATGTGATCGTATATTGTTGTCGCCCTTGTCCGACCGTCTGTGCGGCGCCCACAATTGCTTTTGGACGCTCTATTGGCTAGAGTTAATATCCGATTGACTTTAGATTTATATACAGTGTTTAAGGTCATGAGACGAAGAAGCCTATCGATTTTCAGCAATTTTCGATAATTAATGCCAGAGTTATGATCCTTGATCACTTTGAAAAATCTTGTGGACGCTCTAGAGGTCAAAGTTAATATCCGATTGACTTCAAATTGATACACAGTGTTTAAGGTCATGAGACGAAGAATCCTATCGATTTTCAGCGATTTCCAATAATTTTTGCCAGAGTTATGGCCCTTGATCACTTTGAAAAATCTCGTGGACGCTCTAGAGGCTAAAGTTAATATCCGATTGACTTTAAATTTATACACAGTGTTTAAGGTCATGAGACGAAGAAGCCTATTGATTTTCAGCAATTTCCGAACCGAAGGACGGATGGAAGGGGGCGACGACAATATACGACCACATTTAAATGTGGGCGTATAAAAACGATTGAAAACTATTTAATCTGGTGTTGATTAAGCTGAGTGAGTTGTGATTTGTGATTATTGACGATAATTATTATTATTATTGTTCGATTTATATAACGCTTCATTACACACGAATGTTTCTAAGCGCATTCACAACAAAACAGTTCAAAAACATTTTTGAAATAAGTATGTTTTGAAGTTAGTCTTAAAGCTCTGGATGGAAGAGGACTCTCGAAGAGTTTTGGGAAGATCATTCCACATTTTAGCTGCTCTGACAGAGAAAGCATATTCACCAGAACGCTTATTATATTTGGGGATCCTCAATATGCTACGATCACTTGAAGAACGAAGGTTGGATCGCCGGGGAGTATAGAATTCAAAGAGTTCTTTTAAATAACTGGGTGGTGGTTGTTAAAAACGATTTAATATACTAAGAATTCCAAAATGTATTATTGTATTCTTCATTATATAATAAACGTTAAATAAATTGATTTCAATGTAAGGTGGAACTGCATGCTTTATGGATGGGTCATTTGAGCCTACGTGTGAAGATGGGTGTACACGTTTCTTTGATCTGTTACATCATGGACCATATATACCTTTATATCACAGGGTAATTATGTGTGTGAATTACCACTAATTGGACATGCTGTGTTCTATTATCAATCCGGAAATTTCTATTTTATGGATTTGCATCATGACATGTTTTTTTTCTTCTTTATATATTTTAACAGAATGTGGTATATTTTAAATGTTTCATATTCATGTAATTATCAATGCATCCAATTCGCTTTTTGTTATTAAATCATCGTAGCTAATTCTCGTTTGGTAGCCATTTTTATACGCCCACATAGAAATGTGGTCGTATATTGCCAAAAGTTATCATCCAATTCTTTTAAAATTGATATATGTTGTTTACATTAGTGAGATGAAGAAGCCTATTTAATTTCAATAATTTCCATTTATAACGTCTAGAGTTATGGCCCCTGTTTCACTTTGTTGATACCTTGTGAACTCTCTAATGCCAAAAGTTAACATCCGATCTTTGTGAAATGTATATGCAATATTTGAATTAGGGAAACGAAGAAGCCTATTGAATTTTAGCAATTTCTGTTCATTACTTCTAGAGTTGTGGCCCTTATTTCACTTTGTTTAACCTTGTGAACGCTCTAACCCCAAAAGTTATCATCCTATCTTTCTGAAATTTATATGCATTATTTAAATTAGTGAAACGAAGAAGCCTATATAATTTCAATATAACGTCTAGAGTTATGGCCCTTGTTTAACTTTGTTGAACCTTGTGAACCCTCTAATGCCAAAAGTTAACATCCGATCTTTGTGAAATTTATATGCAATATTTAAATTAGGGAAACGAAGAAGCCTATTGAATTTCAGCAATTTCTGTTTATTACTTCTAGAGTTATGGCATTTGTTTCACTTTGTTTAACCATGTGAACTCTCTAACCCCAAAAGTTATCATCCTATCTTTCTGAAATTTATATGCATTATTTAAATTAGCGAAACAAAGAAGCCTATTGAATTTCAGCAATTTCTGTATATTACGTCTAGAGTTATGGCCCTTATTTCACTTTATTGAACCTGGTGAACGCTCTAACCCCAAAAGTTATCATCCTATCTTTCTGAAATTTATATGCATTATTTAAATAAGTGAAACGAAGAAGCTTATTGAATTTCAGCAATTTCTGTTTATTATGTCTAGAGTTATGGCCCTTGTTTCACTTTATTGAACTTTATGAATGCTCTAACATCAAAAGTTATCTGCCGATCTTTATGAAATTTACATGTGTCATTAAAATTAGTAAAGAGAAGAATCCTATTGAATTTCAGCAATTTCCGTTTATTACTTCTAGAGTTATGGCCCTTGTTTCACTTTGTTCAACCTTGTTAATGCGCGATTGATGAAAGTTATCATCCGATATGTATGAAATTTATATGCATCATTTAAATTTGTGAAACGAAAAAGCCTGTCAAATTTCAACAATTTCTGTAGATTACTTCCAGTGTTGAGAGCCTTGTTTCAATTTCTAGAACCTTGTGAACCCTCAAAGGGCAAAAATTATAATCTGATCTGTATGGAACTGTCTTGTAAAGGACCCCCAATTACTTACAAAGTAATAAATATGTGACAACCCTTGTCGACCCCTCGGACGATTTAGCCGCTATGGGCGTATGTTTCGTTGCCTGGCAACCTATCTTTATAAATTTAGCACAGCCGTTGTATTTGATGAAATCGTTTTACATAGGTTAAATATAGGTCTATCACCCTAAGATCTCGGTTCCTTTCGATATTGGCATGTATCGGACTGTAACTTCATGGATTATGGCCCCTGATTGTACGAAAAATCATGTTTTTAGCTTGTGAACACTGTAAAGGTCACAATTTTTATCCGATTTGGGTTTAAAATTGAAATATATGTTTATAACCCAAAGATCTCAGTTCCTTTCGATATTCGTGCATATCGGACCATAACTTCCTGAATTATGGCCCCTGATTGTACGAAAAATCGCGTTTTTAGCTTGTGGACCCTATAGAGGTCATAATTTTTATCTGATTTAAAAAAAACGTCTAAGTATATCACCATTACACCCAAAGGATGGCTGAGTTCGAATTTCGTGAAAATCGGACCAAAACTGTCTGACAAAATGGCTGCCCATCGTTCTCAAATAGCGTAAAAATATGGTATATCAAGGTTGTGGACCCTATAGAGGTCACAATTTTTATCTGATTTTGTTGAAACTTGAAAAGTAAGTTTATAACCCAAAGATCTCAGTTCCTTTCGATATTCGCACATATCGAACTGTAACTTCCTGAATTATGGCCCCTGATTGTAGGGAAAATCACTTTCTTTTTAGCTTGTTCTCTTTTCATCTCTCGTTATCCGATTTTGTTGAAACTTGAAATGTAAGCTTATAACCTAAAGATCTTGGTTCCTTTCGATATTTGCGCATATCGAATTGTAATTTCCTGAATTATAGCCCTTGATTGTAGGAAAAATCACTTTCGTTTTAGCTTGTTTTCTATCCATCTCTCGAAAATGTGGGCGTATCCTGCCTGGCAGCCGCTGGTATCCAATTTGAAATTTTTTTAAATATATCACCGTTAGACCGTAGTTAAAGTCCGTAACTCAATATCATCCAAAATCTTCGACATTGAAAACACGATTTCTTTTGCAATTTAAATCAGCATTGGTGTTGTGATCTCACCTGGAAAAGATGGGCTTCTGATATCCAATATTTAAGACAAAATAAACATTTTACCATTGGTACACGAATCGTGTACCATAATGCGTTTCAGCGCCATTTGTAACAACGTGCTGAAAGAATGAGGCTAGACATATTCCACAAGTCATGTCAAATGGTGATATCATATTCTTATTTGGAGAGCATGCGCAATAAATAATATCGGTGTTGACTGGAATAACCAGACGTTAGAAACTGACTTGCGGTTGAGACTTCTGGCATATTTCGCCGAACATAACTGATGACAATTCACAGTAAAACGGACACGATTGAATGTAAAACAGTTTATATAAATTCATATTACATTATTATATGTGTTGCGACTCATTTGTGCCAATTTCTAGGTCCAAAATATTAGCGATTTAGCTCCTTTAATTTAAAATTTCGTGAAAACCAGATCAAAAATGCTCGACAAAATAGCAGCTCCTTGTACGCAAATAATGTAAAAGTATGTCATACTAAAGTTGTGGACCCTCTAGAAGACCATAATTTGCGTACAAGGAGCTGCCATTTTGTCGAGCATTTTTGATCTGGTTTTCACGAAATTTAAATTAAAGGACCTCTGTACAAAAAATCGCATTTTTCTTTAGCTTATTCTCTGTCCATCTCTTGCAAAATGTGGGCGTATCTTGCATGGCAACCACTTTTTAATTATTTTTTTTTAGAGATGTAGCTGGTTGTGAAGAAGCAAAGTTAGAAATTATGGAATTTGTTAATTTCTTGAAAAATCCACAGCAATATATAGATTTGGGAGCCAAAATTCCAAAAGGGGCTATGTTGACTGGCCCTCCAGGCACGGGAAAAACTATGCTAGCCAAAGCAACAGCAGGTGAAGCTAATGTACCTTTTATAACAGTTTCTGGTTCTGAGTTTTTGGAGATGTTTGTTGGTGTTGGTCCTTCCAGAGTAAGTCAAATCATTTTTATACGCCCATGCCCACATTTTCATAGGTTATGCATTTGCATTACCCAGTTTGTATACTATATAGATAAGGCCAGTCAAAGTTATAGTAAGTCGAACAGTCATGTGGTGCACACTTTACGGGAATATTCATTATTCCACCGTCGGTGAGCAATGGGTTTACAGGTACCGTTCCACACTTAGGCACTTTGCCTAAGAGAAATTTGTTCTTCTGAATGCGATAACGGTTATAGTTTTTATACACCCACATTTTCATGTGGACGTATATTGTCGTCGCCCTTGTCCGTCCACAATTGTTTGTGGACACTCTACAGCAGTACAGGTCACAATTTTTATCCGATTTCAACAAAACTTGAAATATAGGTTTATCTCCCTAAGATCTTGGTTCCTTTCGATATTGGCATGTATCAGACCGTAACTTCATGGCTTATGGCTTAGATTGTACGAAAAATCATCTTTTTAGCTTGTGGACACTCTTAGATGTCACAATTTTGATCTGATTTTGATAAAACTTGAAATACATGGTTATAACCCAAATATCTTGTTTCCTTTTGATATTCGCGCAAATCGGATCGTAACTTCCGGAGTCAAACCGTAACTTCATGGATTATGGCCACTGATTGTACGAAAAATCGCGTTTTAAGCTTGTGGACCCTATATTGGTCACAATTTTTATCCGATTTTGTTGAAACTTGAAATGTAAGTTTATAACCCCAAAATCTTGGTTCTTTTTGATATTCGCGCATATTGGAATGTAACTTCCTGAATTATGGCCCTTGATTATCCAATTTAAAAAAACATTGAAATATATCACCGTAACACCCTAAGGATGGTTGAGTTCGAATTTTGTGAAAATCGAACCAAAACAGCTGGAAAAATGGCCGCCCCTCGTACGCAAATAGTGTAAAAATATGATATATCAAGGTTGTGGATCCTCTAGAGGCCACAATTTTGAACCGATATCATTATGATGAAACTTTAAATTTATCTTTATATTACAAAGATCTTGGTTCCTTTCAATATTCGCGCAAGCTAAATTTTCCGCATGTGTATATTTATTAATTCATTTGTTCCTTTGTATTTGTATAATTAAAGACAGGTCTTTAGATAGGCATCTGTGTTTCTCTTATGCATCTTTTGTATTGCGTACCATATATATAAAGTTGCATTTAATGAAATAAAAATATGGACCTTAATTTATCGTACGGAAGGTGAATGTAATGTCGTCATTTATAAATACCCAGCAGTCAGAGCCCAATTTGAACATCACAGGAATATAGAGAGTAAATCCAACAAAAACTATTTTTCTACAACCAAAATATATTACTGCTTTATTACTACTGTTTGGGGGTTGCCGGCAGGCGGGCAAGATTGAGATGGCAAGTTTTCGTCTGGCAAATAAGGCAAAGGCTTTTCACAATAATTTGAGTATAATATTTAATCTTCAAACAGGCATGGCTTAGTGACAAATAAAAGTATTGAAGTATTTCTTATTATCTGAAAATATATAAATAAACCTTGGCTAAGTAACTAATTGAGAGATTGACAGTACTATTAAAACATGGTAAATAAAACACTGAACAATTATAATTGAAATATGACAATAATATACATAATTATAAGATTTAAATACCTCAAAATTTGTGTGAAGGTCCACCTTCTCAATCGCTCAATCGACAAAACAAGTATGGCTTAAAATATTATACTGCGCATGTATTAATTAGAACAAAGGAACAATTATTACAACACAGGATACTGTGAAACCTAATATAAAATTAATCAGTGTACCCACCAAGTATAAAACTTATAATAACAAAAATGATAATGTTAAATAATGTAAAGTTCAATCTGTTCACAACAGGGTCACATTCCACAGGGGATATCTGGCTGATTCTTAGACCCAGTTGTAGGAGTGTGAGAACTTATTGTAGTATATATATATTAGCATGCAACACAAATTATTATATTATAAAACACTAACTAAATGTATAACATTAACATCATCTTACAACTACAAAGACGCACATTGGCCGTTTAACATTTATTAAAATTATAAAATTGATACGTAACTTAAGCATCTTACCTTCAATAGTAATATCCATGAAATAGAAATTTCCATATTGTTAAATAATACAACACAACTTGACCGAAGATTGGTAATTCACACACAAATGATATATTTAAACTAAAATTACTTGAGCCGTTCAATAAATTTAAATCGCTTACAAGTTACAACCGAGCGATCCTCACTCATTGCAGAACTTTTAACAATAACAGAATTGTCCTGTGATGTGACAGATCAAAGAAACACACACGCCCGAACTGACACGTAATCATTTTTCGAGACTTGTCTTCTATTCTTACGACTACCTGGCTTTTATATTGCGTACTATATACTCACGCTACTTATAGATGAAGTTACATTTAATAAAATAAAAATATTGACCTTAATCTATCGTACGAAATGCAATGTCGTCATTTATAAATATCGAATAGGTAGGCCCCAATTTGAATATCCCCGGGTATTTAGCGAATAAGCCAAACTTGCCGTACTGATTCTCGTAAATATTCTCGTAAATATCCTTATTCTCGTAATTATCCTTATTCTCATAAATATACCTAATCTCGTCTTCCGACAAGTTAGTATTTGTGTCTTCAAATTGTACCATAACCGGATTCCTGTTCCATAATATAATTCAAATGTCAACCCATACATTTCAGACTTAAAGTCTCACCATTTCACGAATAGTCCGTGCAGAGCACGGGGGTCAGCAATCTCAGTAACGGCTCCTTTGATCAAAGTAACAATTCTATTTATACATGTAAAAGGGAGCAGAACAGTAGGGCGTTCAACCCAGTTACATTTGTTTGCACATATTGGAAAACTGTTTGGTTGCTTTATTTGAAAAGCTATTGAATATTTAACTATAAAATTTGTGAATTTTTCTTGGAAAATTCTAATAATTGTTAGATCTTCGAGAAGCGTTGATCTATCATATCGCTTACCCTGTTTTTTATAATAGCTAGCAGATGAAATGAAATGAAATGAAATGAAATGAAATGGGGTTTAACGTCCTACTGTTCTGCTCCTAACCTGGGCTAATGAAGACGGGCATACGCCATACAGTGTGCTATGAGGGAAATTTTGCCCGGACAGCGGCACTACGGCCTACTCTTATATCGAATTCCAACTGCCAAGGGATCTTTTAAGTGCACGCCAAAGTGTACACGGGACCTCGGTTTTTCGTCCCATCCGAACGACTAGACAGCTTTCCTTGTCAGGCCCTCCGTCCTGCATAGCTAGCAGATAATTTATAATATCTGAATACTTTCTGAAAGAACATATGACTCGTTAGATGTTAGTTTTTAATAGGCCATTTTTTATGATAGTTGGATATCAAATATAATTCACCTTAAATAGATCATGAATAGTCCAACAGAGATTTGAAACAATCAGCATTGTAATTTTATAGTTATACAGAAATACGTTTCCCTGTTCCCCAATCCAATTTGATATTTTATTAACCCTTTCAATGCTAGACGTAAATCCACTGCCTGTGCTAGACCCTTTTTTGAGGAAAAAAGGGAGGTTGGAACTGAATGCCAAGCAGTACTTATGGAAGCTTTTATGAAAAATCTTTTTGTCTGTTGGGATGGGCATGAGGTTGGGCTAAGAGGAAAAAATAGAATTTTGGAAATTTGCATAATAATGTAGTCACGTGACGTCATGGCGGCCATTTTGGATTTCTCATTTCACACTAAAGCTAACACGAAAACAAATTTTTCTCCATGAAATACTTAAAAGATATTGTTTTTTTTACTGGATTTTGATAAAGATATATAAAATGAACAAAAATATCAATAGACGCGCATCACGTCTCCCGCTGCCATGACCACGTGCGGATTGCAAAACCTTGTTTTTACTTTCACTTTCACTTTCACTTTCATCCCCAAGTCCCATATCATTATCAATATAGTCAGTCAATAGATCTACACGTTCGGGAATCAGGAATTACCTACGTATTTTATGATCCAGCAGGCCAGCATTATTATCAACATCAGAATTATTGTCAGAATCTACTGCAGACACAGGGCTATCGTGTTCACATTGGGCTTGTTCATCATGCACGGGAGACATAGCTAGCCATGGGCGGAACGTCGCGCAACAAATCACACACTTCATAATACCAATCACTGTCCTGACTACTATCATTATCAAGTAACTGGAAACGAATTATGTGTATCACCCGCCTCGAAATTGTCCACATGTTGGTCAGCAAGACGTCATTCACGACTTCGTCGAGAGTGCATCGTCTACGTTGTCACAATGCACTCCGCCATTTTACGGTTTGCTGCTTTGAAACACGTGGAAATATGTTCTAGTGTATAGAAAATACAATAGATGGCACTTGCAGTTACGGTACTAATTTTAGCGAGGGCTTTACTGAGTACACGGTAATACCGGGTACGGGCATTTTACCGACATTTTATAATACCCGGTACTACCGGGTATACGCAGTGAAAGGGTTAAACTTCACATTTCATTAGCTTTTTTAGACCATAAACAATAACGTTTCTAACTGGTACAGAGAAGTAATTCAAATTTATTATCTGAGAGATGATTTGCAAATAAAGGGGACAAAGTAATATTTTTATACTATAAATCGAAATTTTGTTGCTGTTATACATATATTAAAGTTTAAGAACGAATATTGATACACTCTATAATATTATAGTGAGCCCTTGCATGTAACTTGTTTAGGGACACTTTACAAAGTGACGATTTAATCATATAAAAAAATCGTAATTAGGGATATGTATATTGAGTCAGTTAAAAGCCTGTTTAAATAACTGTGTTTTTAAATAGTTTTTTTTAAAGAATACTGATAAGTACAACATCTTAAAACTAAATGGTAAATTATTCCATAAAACAGGTGTGCCTCTATCAAGAGATAGTTTGTTACTGGTTGCAGTAAATTTCAAAA